CCCAGGGTCCCGGGATGCGCCACATGTCCCAGCATGCGCCGCATGGATGCGAGCGGTACCGACTGCTCCCGCTCCCGGCTGCCTCCTGTCCCTGCTCCCGCTGCCCCGCTGGCTGATTCCCATGGGGAATGCCGCGACACGGGGGCCCGGAATGCCGCGGGGCACCTGGAATGCCGCGGGGCACCCGGAATGCCGCGGTTTGCCGGGAACGCCGCCACGCGGGCACCCATCCCGGCTCCAGCCTCTGCTCTCCCCCTCGGCAGGTCGACGTCGCCCACTTGTCCCCCGAGGAGCGATGGAGGTGAGTGGGGAGCGGGATGGGCGCTCCGCATTCCCGCCGCGCTCCGCATTCCCGCCGCGCTCCGCATTCCCGCCGCGCTCCGCGTCCCCGCCGCGCTCCGCATTCCCGCCGCGCTCCGCATTCCCGCCGCGCTCCGCGTTCCCGCCGCGCTCCGCATTCCCGCCACGCTCTGTGTCCCCGCCGCGCTCTGTGTCCCCGCCGCGCTCCGCATTCCCGCTGCGCTCCGCATTCCCCCTGCACTCTGCATTCCTGCCGTGCTCCAATTCCCGCTATGCTCCGCATCCCCGCCGCGCTCCAGATTCCCGCTGCGCTCCACATTCCCCCTGCACTCTGCATTCCCGCCGTGCTCCAATTCCCGCTATGCTCCGCATTCCCGCCGCGCTCCAGATTCCCCCTGCGCTCCGCATTCCCATTGCACTTCGCGTCCCCACTGCGCTCCGATTCCCAATGTGCTCCGCATTCCCGCCGCGCTCCGCATTCCCGCCGCGCTCCGCATTCCCGCACATGCTCCACATCCCCGCTGCACTCTGCATTCCGGCTGCGCTCCAGATTCCGGCTGCGCTCCACATTCCCCCTGCGCTCTGCATTCCCGCCACACTCTGATCCCCGCTGCGCTCCAGATTCCTGCTGCGCTCCGGATCCCCGCCGCGCTCCGGATCCCCGCCGCGCTCCGGATCCCCGCCGCGCTCCAGTTCCCGCCGCGCTCCAATTCCCGCCGCGCTCCAATTCCCGCCGCGCTCCGCATTCCCGCCGCGCTCCGCATTCCCGCCGCGCTCCGCATTCCCGCTGCGCTCCAGATTCTGGCTACGCTCTGCATTCCCGCCACACTCCGATTCCCACCGCGCTCCGTGTCCCCACTGCGCTCCGCATTCCCGCTGTGCTCCATGTCCCCGCTGTGCTCCGCCTCCCCGCTGCGCTCCACATTCCCGGAATGTCCCAGGACATCGCGGCTACAGGGACACATCCTTGGCACAGCCCTTTGCCCTTAATCCCACGGGCACCAGTCCTTCCGTGCCAGTCCCAGAGGGAATTTGCTGCGTGCTGGGAGGCCGGCGCACTTAGGGCCCTTGGAATGGCTGAGGATGGCACGGATCCGTAGGGATCATCCAGCAGGGACACCCGGAATGCGGGGCACGCRGGAAGACCCCCAGAGCAGGAGCATGTGCCCGCGGCGCTGCGTGGGTTTAACTTCCCATCCCGGGGATTCGGGAATGCGGGAACGCAGGGCGGGTTTAGCGGTTGGATTTGCGCTCCCGAGGGTCCCGTAGCGGTTCCGTGCGGATGCTGAGCGCGGTGCCGCCGGCGCAGGGTGGAGCACGCGCGGATGCACGCCAAGCACCGCGGGCACGAGGCCATGCACGCCGAGATGGTGCTCATCCTCATCGCCACGCTCGTCGTTGCCCAGCTGCTCCTGGTGCAGTGGAAGCAGCGGCACCCGCGCTCCTACAACGTGAGTGGCGCCCGGGTGCGCCGGGGCGGGATGCGCCGGGGCGGGATGCGCGGTGCCGGGATGCGCGGTGTCGGGATGCGCTCCTGGGAGGATGCACTGAGATGGGATACGTGGGGCCGGGATGCGCTCCTGGGAGGATGCGCCGAGGCAGGATGCATGGTGTCGGGATGCGCTCCTGGGAGGATGCACGGTGCCGGGATGCATGGTGTCGGGATGCACTCCTGGGAGGATGCACGGTGTTGGGATGCGCTCCTGGGA